ATTTCTGTCTCCAAATTCAAATTGAGATTTAATCTTCCAATGGGATTATCATCAAACCCTGCAAATCTGGGAACCAACCTGCCCCCTTGCAGGTGGCTTTGTTCTTATCATGCATTGATCTTATCATGAAACGAGAAGGCACACTCAATTCCCCAATTTCCAAGTTCTTGGTGCCATCTCAAAATGACCCACAAGTACAAACACACAAGCTAACAGTGACAATGACACCCAATACACACTCCGTCACATTTTGTCTCCAGGACAATCACTCAGGCATTCACCCAGCATCCTTGGTGCTCAGCTAGACACTAGATATCCAGTAACAGACCACTCACTCTTCACTTTAAGGAACAGTACTGAGCAAGGCTCCTTCTCTATGAAAGCATGTTTGGATAGTGGCTTCTGAGATATCTTAGCTTCTTTCAATGTTGTGTTCTCCAAGGTCTACAGCTTCTTCAAACCAGTCAGAATCAAACCAGTCTCCCAGAGCAAATGACTTTGGTCTAGTTGTTATTGAAATAAGCAAGGAAAAGACTTTTCCTTATGCCAAATGCAGTAGACAATGATCCAGTAATTCAAAATTCCAGCTACACTGAAAATTCTACATTTAGCATTTTTAATATTCTGCTTGATTATTATTTTTCTCCCAGCACAAGAGCAGTTCTTTTTTCTGAATTGTGGTTTATTTCAACCAATGATAAAAATTACGTAGTATTTCTTAAGCAATACACTAAGCCAGAGATTTTTTTTTTTTGAGTTGGAGTCTCACTCTGTTGCCCAGACTGGAGTGCAGCGGCCGCTCCTGGCCACTGCAGCCTCGACCTGCTGGGCTCCGGCGATTCTTCCGCCTTAGCCTTCCAAGTAGCCGGAATTACAGGCGCGTGCTACCACGCCCGGCTGATTTTTTGATTTATTGTAGAGATGAGGTCTCGCTGCCCAGGCGGGTCTCGAACCTGCGGGCTCAGGCAATCCACTCACCTCAGCCTCCCAAAGGCATGGGATTACAGGCTGAGCCACCGAGCCCGGCTAGCCAGAGATTTTTACCAGGCCAAATCCTGCATTCTTAGTTATAAAATGATCAAATGCTATTTCTGGACTTGTGAAGGGTCAAGAATTTGAGCACAGGAAAATAAACAGTCACATGTCTTTTTTAACCACTGAATATGCTAACAGAAGAACATTACTTTGTATCACCAAGTAAGGATACACAAGCAACATCTTCCTGGTGACCATGTCCAGCTTCTAGCAATAATATTCATTGTCAAGAAAATACAGGGGGTTTGATCACAGGACCCACTCAGGGGCTGTGACGGGGTTCTGGTTCTTCTACCAATCACTTACGTGATCCTGTACAAACCACTTTGTCCCCAGGGGTTATTCTCTTCTCTTGTAAAGTGAGGAAGCTAATCTAGGCTAAGAATCTGACATTTATTCTCATCTCTGAAGTCCTGTGAAATTAGTATCTGCTGGGCAGCAAGCAGAAGAAAAAAAAAAAATCAGTAGCTCATTTGTTCAGAAGAGCAGGGAAATTTAAAAAACAAAATAAAAAATTTCCCTACTGGTGCCTTTATCAAGCTGTTTCACAGACACAGTCGCCTTACTTAATCTACAACCAACACTCAGTCACAAAGTCAAATGGTGCTTTGTGATCGTAGCTAAATTCCCATAATTGAAAAGATAAGTAGTGACTATATTCAGCTGTCAATGACTGCCTGGCACCTGCTGACCAGGTTACCGAGTATGTTGATGTCACAGTCTTCCTTTCTTCTTCTACCCAGATTCATCATCACATGCTTATATGCACAGTATAATGTAACAGAGAAGAACAATGCTCAACAGTTATTTAAGTGAAAGGCTCTCAAACAATGACAGCAGAAGAATCATCGTCTTTGAAATCTATCCCTCATCCCTCATATCACCATCTAATAAGTAAAAGCTGTTGCTCATTTGTTCATTCATTTGTTCACTCACTCATTCAACATCCTTAAGAGACTACTGTAAGCCAGGCATTTAAAACACTACAGAAACAGCAGAAAATAAGATCCCTGCTCTCAGGGACTTACTTTCTAGAGCAGAACAACGTAATTAAAGGTCATGGTAAGCCACTTACCCCTACCACCTGATGTTACTCCAAGCAAAAGCCCAAGAGGCAGAAGAAATCCAGGCTTTAAAAAACCTCATCCACAATTTTTTGATTATATGCTAAATTTATAATATTTCAGATATATCAGGTTAAATAAAATACACCATTCAAATGAACTTTGCCCATACTTTTAATGTAAGATTTAAAATACAACAAATGATCAACCACTTAATGAACCACTTCCTTTCTAAGGAGGGAAATAAATAAGTGATTGACAGAACTCTGTACCTCAGTTTTATCAAACATACAATGAAAAGAGTAATGACACCTTATCCCTCTAAGAGTGGTTGTAAGGATCCAGTGAGTTAAATAAACGCAAGGAACAAACCCTAACATGGAAAGAGCTCCACGAATGTGAGCTCATCTCAGTGTTGTTATCACTCTGCTCATGTGATTCCTACATCTGCTGCTATTTTTGCTAAGACCCTGAGGATACCCATGGGAGAATGAGGAGCAGTGCAAACCCAACAAAGGGAGGAGTAGGAAAAACCCTGGTGGGAAGAATGAACTTGGCATTTCCAGGAAATTGAGGGCCACTAACAGTAAACAGAGGAAGCATAAAACAAAAAGAAGTGGGACTGGACTAGGAGAAAAAACAAACAACTCGATTTTGTATTTTTATGCAGTAGGAATCCATCGCAAGGTTGATGCAGGATAACGCATCTGAGGATGCTGTGATGATCCAGGTACAAGATGACAGGGCCTGAGTTAGACTGTGGTGACAGAGATGAAAGAAAATGGCTGTGAATGTGACACAAAAATGGAATGACCCTTGTAGCCCCTTTATGACTCTGTCATTCCACCACTCCATGGTGCCACACATCCCTACTACCGGATGCTCCTTCACACAAAAGTCAAGACATGAAAGAAATGTAGGGTTTAAAAAATCTTATCTACAATCTTTTATTTCAATTACATGCTAAATTTATAATATTTTAGGCATATTGGGTTAAATAAAAATGGGGGGTAGGTGCCAAAAAATACAGACACATTTTAAGAGATGTTTACTCTAGTGTCTGGATGCAGATGGTAACTGCTTTGAGTACCACTTGTAATCGCAGAAGTCAAACGTGACTTGTATTCATCTTATTGAATATTACAATTTTAATACAGTTTTTTCTATTCTTAAAATATGTATACATTTTTTGGCACCCTCTGTATACCATCCAAATTTATTTTGCCCATTCCTTTTAATGTAGAATTTTAAACACAACAAATGATCCACCACTTACCCAACAGAATTCTCTTTACAGCTAAACAACCCTATCTTTAGATATCATGCATCTTTTTTTCCCATTATAGCATGGTAATCAATTATATTCAAAATACAGAATATAATCAAGGAAGACATGGCAGAATCATGCTTGTGAGTGAGAGAGATGTCTAGGCTCATCAGTTATGAGCTCTGGCTACTGTAGACAAGTTAATTAACTTTTAGCTGCTGGCCCTCTTAGGGATTACATGAGATGATGAATGTGTAAAGTGCCTGGCTCTTAATACATATGCAAACATTCTAGCTATTACTTTTATTATGAAATCAGAAAGGCAGATTGTGGGAAATGAAATAGGCTTTGAAGTCAGCTGTATGTTCAAATTCAGATTATGACACTTCTACATAATACTGGGCAAATTATTTAATCACCCTAACCTCAGCTTCCTCAACCATAAAACATGGTGACTGTGAAGATGACATTATATTAGCAATGTAGCACAATACTTGTCACTCAGTCAACTCCTGTGACCCTATCCTCCCCACGGATTAGAAAGTTAATGTCCCCTTCAAAATACTTGATACAGGAAGAAAAAAAGATTTAAAGATACTAATTATAGGTATTAAAATTCCTTTATTGTTGGGTAATATTTAATTATAGTTGTTACCAGTGTGAATCAATATAGACAGCAAAATAATGTATTTTACTGTACAATTTTATAAATTAATATTAAATAAGTACTTTATTAAATATTAAATAAGTATTTTTCTCTCTCTCTTTTTTTTTTAACAAAATTGTCATCTGCATGGGGGTTATGCAACAGAAAAATGCAGGGGTGGGTAGGTAGGAGGGAGAAGAGAACAAGCTACAAAATCATTCTGTTGCCTGGTGATATGGTTACAGAACCATTAAGTTTTTGCAGACTCAACTTTATTGCAATTGCAAGTAAGGCTGCAATTGGAATCAGAATATCTATTATATTATCTCCTAAACATATTCAGGAGAGTCAAATTACATAACCTTTTACTCAATGGCTTCCAATCTTAGAAGTTAAAGGGACCATCAATTGCTCAAGTTTCTTGACCTAGATTGAAGTCATTAAACAAACAGTCATGTTTGCAACAGTCATAGAATCTAATAAAAGAATATGAACTAAAAAAGTTAGCAGAGACTTTAGAGGCACAACTGATGAACTTAGGTGTAATTAAAGTTAGGTGCTATAATACTTAGGAGGAAATTATGAGCACTACCTGCCATCTTTTTCAAAGGTTTAATAATTAAAATCCTCACCTAATTATCTATCTATCTATCTATCTATCTATCTATCTATCTATCTATCTATCTACCATCATCTATCATCTCTCAAGCTTCTTGATGAAAAAAAATTCTTGGCTGAATAAGTTAGATGTTTGTTTTTATATACTTTAATAGTATTTTAGTACAAATAGTTTATTTACTTAGAAATACAGAGAGAGTTACTGCAGCTGTAAAAGAGGTTTGAAATCCCATATTCTGCATTGTTGGAGCAGAACAGTTATTTCAAATGTCCAATTGTAAACCTGACAACAGTTGTTCAGAAAGAACACAAAAGGAAGGAACGACCACACTGGAAACAGTGAACTGGGTCTTTAAAGGTTAAGACTGACAGACTACATTTTCAAATGTGGCATTGAGGACATCAAACACCTGTAAAGGCATGGAAATTAAAGCAGAAACTATACAGCAGAAACTATACAGCCTCTCCAATTTCTACCCAGGACTGCAGTAGCAGAGGGAAAATGCGATTTTCAGTTATATACCACCCCTATACTGAGTGTTGATGTGGGCTCCAGGAGGTGGACATCTGCTGCCCTTCCCAGAGCTCAGTGTCTGCATCTCCTAGAAACAGTCCATTGCTTTCCTTTGGAGAACTCCTCCCTTCCCATTGCAGGCTTGGGGGACTGCTCCACCAAGTTACTGTGCTCCTTGTTGACTTACAAGTAGGCACATGGCCCGCACTAAGCCAATCACAGTCAATTTGCCATCTGGACAGATGAAAAGGTTGAGTCCAGACAGGACGGATTCGGTGGTTATCTTGGACTGACTGTCCATTAGTCAAGCTGCCTTGGATGCTCCTTGACCTTTCATTTGATTGCAGGAAAGGTTAAAGGATATGCTCAGCTTATATATTATGTAATTTTAGCAGAGTCATTTCAGTTCTCTGCTGGAAGCCAGGTCCCATGCCAACATCCATCTAACACAGGTGGGCACCGAAGTCACTACCTGAACCTGGTCAACCTTTTTCAAGAAGCTGAATTCAGTTCCCTGAACCTCAACTACTAGCTGGCTTTTCTGCTCTGCATGGAAAGATGATATAGAATTACAATTCAACTTTCCTGGTCAAGAGTTCACCAGGCTGCCGGAACCTTCCCCAACAGGCCCCACTTGCTGGATCAGATCTCCTCTGATGTTAACATCTGCCCTAACCAAGCTGTGAGTCCAGTCTATTCTGAGATAATCATGGGTTGCCACCCTAAGGAACTTGCACAAAAGTCAAAAAGCTTTCCACATCCTCCATTACCCTCTTGTTCATGCAACTGTGATCCTAGCTTATTACATTTAAACCTATCAGAGTTATAACAAAGCGTTGTAACAAAAGACACATCCTGATATGCAAAAAAAAAGGGGGGGTTAAATGCTTCAAAAATTGATTGTTTTTCATTATACAGAAGGGTCCTTTATAACAAATAATTCTTTTCAAAATGATGAAGATCAAGAAACTTCACGTCTGGCCACAACTTGCTCATGATCAGAAAGCCACAGAACACCAAAGGCAAGACAACATTTGGAAATTGATGAAACCCAACTCAGCTCTAAAGCTCTAGCACTGATAGATACATGCATGTATTTATTTAACAATTAAGCTTAGCCGGGCTCGGTGGCTCAGCCTGTAATCCCGTGCCTTTGGGAGGCTGAGGTGAGTGAATTGCCTGAGCCCGTGGGTTTGAGACCCGCCTAGGCAGCGAGACCTCATCTCTACAATAAATCAAAAAATCAGCCGGGCGTGGTAGCGCACGACTGTAATTCCGGCTACTCAGAAGGCTGAGGCAGAAGGATCGCCAGAGCCCAGCAGGTGAGGCTGCGGAGGCTGGGAGTGGCCACTGCACTCCAGTCTGGGCGACTGAGTGAGACTCCAACTCAAAAAAAACAAAAAAAACAATTAAGCTTGGTCGGAGCAGTGGCTCAAGCCTGTAAACCCAGCACTCTGGGAGGACGAGTTGAGAGGACTGCCTGAGTCCAGGGGTTCGAGACGAGACTGGGCAACTTGGTGAGACCTCATCTCTATAAAAAATTTTAAAAATTAGCTGTGTGTGGTGGTGTGCACCATAGTACCAGGTGCTCGAAAGGCTGAGGAGGAAGGATCGCCTGAGCCCAGAAGGTTGAGGTTGCAGTGGCCATGAGTGCTCCACTGCACCGCAGCCTAGGCTACAGAGTGAGGCTCCGACTCAACAAAACCCCCCAAAACAAAAACAAAACAAAACAAACCCCACAAAAAACAAAACAAAACAATTAAGCTTGACCTCACCTCTCCCTCTAACTCTATATATTTCCTCCTGGGTCTATTCCACCTCAAAACAATTTTTCCAATTAAGACCTTCCCCTAGCCTCACAGACTAGTTAGAGCCCACTTAACATCAAAGCACCCTCCCTGACCATAGTTAGAGACCACTTAACATCAAAGCACCCTCCCTGACCATTCTTCCTTAAAGTGCCACTGCAAAAGTTCTAAATATATCCTATAGGTAAAAGACCACTATACCTCTGATATTACTCTTTTGAGCTATATACTTAGGTATGTAATAACTGAGACTAATAATAGACACTATAGATGCTTAGGTATTGAGCATGGGGCAGGCATACAAATACACTTAAGTACCATATTATACTAATATGAAGAACTAACATAACACTTCAGGAAAGTTCCTTCCATGCACTAAATATTTACCAAATTTTCTTTTTTAATACAAGGTACCCCCAAATTTTCAGAAATCTATAGTATTGTCCCTATCCTGATAACTGCTGATATAATTTTTTTTTTTTACCAGGACCTGTCATTGCTATACATGATAAATATTTTTATTTAACTGACTCTGTGGGAACCAATCTAAAAATAAACAAGTGTGAAACACATCAACAACACTTCTTGTCCAAAACAGGAAAAAAAAATAGCTTAATACTTCCTGAGCTAATGCTGAATTGCAGCAAGCTCTAAGAGCAGTACTACAAATTCTAAGTAGTAGACACTGAAAAAAGCATTCCTGGTACTCAGAAGAAAGGCTATCCTTAAGCAGTATTACATGAACAGCTACGATACACTAAGTGTTGGGCCTCACACACAGTAAGCATCAACCTCCCTGGCAGCTGGCCTTAGATATTAACCTAGAAAAATAATCACTTTGGGCATGCTGAGTTGCTTGGAAATAGTAATAAAACATTTACTAATGCTATATCATACTTAACTGGAAAAGGAAGTACAACAACGAAAGACAGAAGAATTGAATGACATTGCCTTGGAACTAACTCATAGATAACTTCGTTAGCTAGAAGAATCAAACAGTGTGTTCCCGATATAGATTTAAAAGCTGTCACAGAAGCAGACTGCTCCAGAAATGAGGGGTTTCAACTACCAGTCACCTACCAGGCATCTCCTAGAAGCCTCAATTAGCTAAAAGCATTGTTGACTTGCACTGGCATCAAGTTTGTCTCTGAGAAGGTACAGGAAGCAAGATGAACTAAGGACTAGATGCTAATCAATGCAAAAGTGGCAACGTAGTAATGATACTCTTTAAAAAAAATGGGACTTGCCAAAGAGTTTTAGAATGTCAAGGAGGGGAATACCAGGCTGAGTTAGACATGTATTTCAGACTTAAGAGAGCACGGTTCAAATGATAGTCAAAACCCAAAAAGGGCAGAAGCCACCAGTGCTGCGAAAGGCGTTGTTTAGTAACTGCGAAAGGTGCTGACATGGGGGAAAAGGAGTGCACGTTCACAGACCACTGCTGTTGCACAGGAAGTCCTAGAACAAGTGTAAGATTAAAAAAAATAAGAGCACGGGAAAGGTTGAAAATAGGCTCCCATGTTAATAGTGAATATTAACAGTACACAAACATCTAAGAATGGTGGAAAGGTGCTCTAAAAAATGTCAGAGACCAAAATGTTTTTTTTCCTTTAATTTGGAGCACAAGGAATTGAGGAGCTGGGCCTGCTGCCTGTAATAGATGATGCAATGTTAACAGACAATAAAGTAAAAAGCAGAACTTCTCAACTCCTACTTTGCTTCAATTCTCTCTCTCAAGGATAATTATCTTAAGACTCAAAAGGTTAGAACAAACATTAGGTGGAAGAACTAAAGTGAAAGAGAAGGTGGGGACTTTTTTTTTTAAGAAAAAGAAAAGCCAGCAACTAGCTCCTCTAAATAAATTCATATCTTACAGCAGAATATAATTATTTTTTAGCTGATACAACTGCAAGAAACGGCAGAATAGTTAAGTGAACTGCTACTCATCATAGAAAAACCATGGTGAAAGAGAGAGGATTAAGATAAAGACGATTCAGTCATCACTCAAGTACCCATGGGGGATTGGTTCCAGGACCCCCCACCCGCGCAGACACCAAAATCCGCAGATGCTCAAGAGCCTTAGATAAAATGGCATAGTATTTGCATATACCCTGTACACCTACCCCTGTATACTTTAAATCATCTCTAGATTACTTATAATTCCTAATATAATGCCTACATATTACTTCATTCACATGGATTCAACTTGGCGCATGGAAAATTTAAGCTTTGCTTTTGAAACTTTGTGGAGGTGTTTTTCCTGAATATTTTCAACCTGTAGTTGGCTGAATCCACGAATGCAGAGCCCACAGATAAGGAGGGAGACCTGTACTCTCCGAGTATTCTCAAAAGGAAAGAAGCTTGGATCAGGTAAAAAATCAATCACTGTTTATAAAAATGGGGGCCTACAGATGTGCTTTCAGAGTTCACAGATTTAAATAATGGGATCTACCACTTCTAAAGGATTTATGGGAAAAATCTGAAAGGAATCCAGAAGCTAAAAGGACATTTCCTATTTGCATTGAGAATTCAGTTAACACTGAGTGGGACTTACATGTTTTGAAAGCAGGGTTACTCATACACAGCATATATTCTCAGAGACCAAAAGGAAATGTTCCCTTTAAGAAAGATCTTTTGCATTAGCTAAGTCTGAACAACACTATTATTGGCCAATGAATCTGAAGTCAATGCCAGTCATAAATCAAGTGTAGACAATTAAGAGTGATTAAAACGAGGGAGGTGACTGCTGGGATCAGTGAGTTTTCACTGTCTAACTATCTTTCCTTTTCTTTCTTTTTAAAAAATAGAACCCTTAGCATCTGGATTTCAATAAGTTCTTTGGCTAGGCCCTTCTGTTATAAAACAAAGACGTGTGATCTCATGATTATAAAGCAACTACATAGCTGACAAACATCGACATGGGGGCTCACACTGAGTTCACCTTTGGTCCCCACTGCCTGTGAGCTCTTCTGAAAGAGCCTACCCTGGGCCACACTTGGATTCTACCTCTCCTTCCCTCTCCTGGCCAAGTACCCCAGCCCTAGATGTCAGGGTCAACATGGAGCACCTAGCCAACCAGGCCAAATCTAAGACCCTTTGGGGCATGTGGACTTGTGGTCAGAAGACTTAGCATGAAGAGGGACCATCCCAGAGACTTGGGTTGGAGGAGGTGTCATGCCACATGCATGCCAAGGTTAGGAAGTGGAGGATGGAAAAGTCACACAGAGACAAAAACAAGGCATTGTTAGGCAGAAAGATATCTCAAAGACCCAGTCCCATGGGCCTTGCTATGATCCAAGAACCTTCCTTAGATAAATACACTGAAGGCTCTGAAGTCAGACTGCCTGAGTTCCAATGCTAGGACAAGGACACACAGGACATGATTAATCAAGTGAAGATGACATGAAAAAAGTCCAAATTCATGAGGATTTTGAGAGGTTAAATAAATCAAAAGGCCTATATAAGGCCTAAAAGAGTCAACTATACAAATGCA